TCAAAGATGCGCTAGGTCTTATTTTCAGGGGATGTCTTATTTTTCCATGAAGAAGAATTCACATTTATTGTTGAACAAAATAATTCCCAAGTCTAACTTAAATGAGATTGATGTATATCCGGTCATGTCAAACTGAACTTACGAAGTTCCCATGCTGAAGTGGACTTCCCACTCTCGCTTCAACTTAACCTTTTCATAGTGCCGACTTCGGGCTCGATGACCAATTAGTGCTTACTGAACCGTAGCACTATGCAAATGTGATGGGGCGTGATTCCCGGCCGACCAATTAGTGATCACCAGCCATAACATTATGCAAATCTGTGATTCCCAAGCCATAGTCTTATGCAAATCATGCCATGTGGCATGATTGTCTGCTGGCCAATTAGTGGCTGTACTTTCAAAAAGCCAACGGCCACTTTCAACCATCTCTCGATGACCGTTAGGAGTAAAAAAAAACTTTGCTAGGACTTACTTTCAGGGGGAGGTCTTATATTTCGCAATTTAGCAAAACCTGTGCTAGGTCTTATTTTCAGGGAAACACGGTAGTTTGCATGTAACTTGTATATATTATTTTAGTACCTAGTCATTGGCAGTCATGAAAATGTTGTTACTCAGCAGGTATAAAGCCTGAAACTCCACAAGAAAAAAATGCATACAGCCTGACAGAAGTCTACAAAGTTCACTTGTTGACCTCCAGAAAAGGTTCTTCACCACTGCATTAGATGATATACAGTATTAGATTTTTTCATAGTATATTTTTATGCCTAAATGCTTTAAACATTGAATTCTAAATTGAAGACTTTTTTTATGAATTTCTTTGTTTATGATGGTATATCATTATTGATAATTATATCAAATAAAATACACCATCTAATAAAATTTGTTACAGCTTATTAAAAACTTGAAACAAACTTTACAAAACTGTCAAGCAACATTTTTTTCTAGTAATGTATGAATATACATTACTAGAAAAAAATGTACAGTACTAAAAATAAACATACATTAATCATTTTGGTATGTAACACATTACATAACTAATATTTTTAATACTAAGGTACTATACATGATTAGGCAATATAATCCTTTACATCACAGATAAAAATAAATAATTTATAAATATCAGTTGAGAATAATTTTCTGATATTTTGATATAGAGATTTTGAATTACAGCATTTATATTTTTAATCTATAAAGAATATGAATAACCCGACAAACTATCAGAATTTTGTTTATCTGGAATTTGAACTAAATCTGTGGAAAGTTTGTATATAAGTACTTTCTTTGTTTATTTTTCCATATATTATATATTAAAAAGTATGTATCCTACTGAATCAAATCAAAAGAATAGAAAACATTAATAAAAAGATTTGTATTTCAGATAATGTGTAGATTCTGTAGCTCAGGTTTTCATATTTACAATTCTGTGCAAGCACAATGTTGATAAATTGCTTTGTCATAATATTCCACATTCCTTCTCAATCTTGTTTAAAATAATAATTATTATGTTTTCTATCTTTTGTTTCACAGTAGAAAGAAATTGTAAATAATAATTGTCTTTTAGAAAATTTCAAGTTTCTAAAATATTTTCTATATCTTATTTGATGTATTATAATACTTGAAAATAACATAATAATGTATGTATATATTATTTTCAATATCAATTGAAGATCTTTGTTCTTTAAATGTCATGAATATAATCTTGGAAAGTTTTTATTGTTCAATCATAAAATGCAAGAAAATTCTAACACAAATAATTTAAATAATTAATATCCAAATGAAAAATTTTAAATATAATATCTTCAGTTAATTAAGCCATATTAATTAGCTTTGTTTTTTAGAAAATTATTCAGACATAAATTATTATTTGAAGGTACAGTATATCTTTTCATAATAGAAAGTATTTTTCTCTTGCAGAAAAAATTCTCATATAGAGTGATGTTCATATAGAGTCTTTAATTATATTAATGATACAGTAATTTCTTTATGAATTTTTACACAAATGATTATTAAATTGGAAAATTTAAAAATTAATTAATAAGAGAATGCAAATGATCTCAAAAGATATTTTAAATGGAAACAGCCAAATTTTAGTGATTTTTATCCAATGTGACATGTGTTTGTTTGTTGAGTTTAACTAGGGGCAAATTTTACAATAAATAATCATATTAAGAGTAAATTTGAAAATTAAGCCAATTTCATATAAATGTGAGCTTTTTAGTTGTCTATGTTTTTACTATTTTAATTTCTAAAATTTTAACAATTTTATACAAAAATGTTGATTATCTGCACTTTTTTGAATGATTTATGATCCTAGAAATTGGTTAGATACTTTTTCTTTCGTCTACAACGATATATCATCAGGTATTCTTGAATATAAACTGACAGAACATGTTTTTTAAATTGAATTGAATAGATCCAAAAGTTTTTAAATTTTGGATCTATTCAATTCAATTTAAAAAACATGTTCTGTCAGTTTATATTCAGTTAGATAACTTTTTGAGATAAGAGAAGATGAAGTTATAATGATTTTGAAGAAATTTATATATCACAATATATTCATTCCATATTTCTTAACAAAATTCATAAACAAACAACACTATGAAAACCTGATACATTATAATAATAAAGCCAATCACTACCATATGCCATCAGGCTACGTAACGGCTATAATAATAATGACTTACCAAACAATTTGACCCTAGAGGGAGGTGTTAGGTGCAAACTCAAAATAAATTTAATAATTATAATTTTAATTAAATAATTTTAGATTAAACTGGAAGAAAAGTGGTGCCTATTGCCTCTGAGGTCAAATTGTTTGGTAAGTTATTATTATTATAGCCTGATGGCATACAGCAGTAATTGGCTTTATTATAAAATTAGCTGCAAGTACCCACTTCGCTGGGTTTTTTTTTATTCGTACATTTATATGTAATATAGTTTTTTTTTAAATATATAAAAGACTGTTTCTCTTCCTCTACATAATCTTTCTCTGATTCAATGTGTTTCCCTATAATTTTCAAGTTGCTCTTCTGTCTGATTATTTCTGTTTCTCATAGCAATGTTAGATGTACTTCTTTGTACTTCAATGTTAGATGTACTTTCTTCTGTGGTTTCATTTCTCTGAGCCATCTTTTCCCTTTGAGATATGATTCGAGACCGCAAAAATTCTTCCTTACACTTTGGCATTGTTTTTTATATTTTTACTTTTCACACTTCACTATTCACTTTTCACTTTCTACCTTTTTCTGTTATTCGTACACTTTTACTAATGAAAAATCAACTGAAGCATGTGCGTCACACGTCTCCAAAAGCCATCCCCACTACTCACACATAACAGTCCTCGACTATTCGAAAACATTTTTGACTATTCGAAAACATTTAAGATTAAGATTAAGATTACATTATAGCCAATCTTACCCGTTTTCACAGAATGAAAGAATTAGGTCTCCCGTTTCCAGACTAATTAGAGAATTTTTACATGGGTCTAAAAATATGTTCGATTTTTTGCAAAAACGCCCGCATCTGTAAATCTTGCATGCCACTTTCTCTTAACACTTCCTTTGCTACTGAACACTTCCATTATTGACACTTCCATTGTTACACATTTTAGAAGTCAACCACTTTCAACTCCATATCTCCCACACCCTTATAGCTATTGAGCAACCACCATAGTGCACGATGGGAGACTTGGGGCTACCACACACAAACACCATTCATGTGCAATGTGTAGTTTTGGCTGCAGAGTGAAATATAAGCACACACACGTCCATTTGTATATATATATATATATATAGAGATTCATATACAGTATATCTGTGATTATGATAAAAACAATATTATTATTTATCTGTAACATATTATTAGTATATATTAATACATATAAATCTGAATGTATAATATCAAAGTTATTATGATTGAGTGTATTAAAAGCAAAACAATATTATTGCAAAAATCTCAGATTTCTATTTTTATACATTAACAGTTGATTTTAAAAATTTTTGAAAGATGTTTTCTAATATTTCTATTGATTTTACTTAAATTATTCTTAGGAATTACATTAGAAAAAAGAACAGATTAAAAATGTAACCAAACTGTTTTATTGGCATTTGGGTATTTAGTTATAGTTAAAGTTGGAGTTTTTCTGTTAAGAACAATTTAATTGAAAAAGTACAAAGAAAATGTTTTTTAATAATAGGAGAAAAAGCAAACAAAGCCAATGTTTATAGAATAAAAAATACATGTTGTATTGACTTAGATACAGTTATCAAATTTTTTTAATATCATTTTCTAAGAATTCTTGTAACATATACCAAATAGTCTAGTTCAATAGATTTAAAATTCAGTTTCTTGTTGTCAATATACAAATTGTGTTTAATTTTGTATTAGGTATTTATACCATTGTATAAGGTATAAATACCTTATACATTGTATAAGGTATAAATACCTTATACATTGTATAAGGTATAAATACCTTATACAATGGTATAAATACCTTATACAAAATTAAACACATGCTTAATTAAACACATGCAAAATTAAACACACCTTAAATAAATTTGTAAACATTGTATAAGGTATAAAAGAATTGTATTACCTTATACAATTCAAATTGTTTGGTATATTATTTATATTCATCAGGAACAAATTCAAAATCAGAACAGATATTTATGTTGATGATATGAGTAGCATCTCAAGAATGTTTGAATTTAATATAGCTGTTATATAAATTGTGTTTACATTTTTTGGTGTTAATATGTAAATTAATTTTAAATTATTTGATGACTTTTTAAGTAGATCTGTTTATATTTGGAATAACTTTTAAATTTTTTGCTCTAAAGCAAACAGTGATTGTTATTTAATACAGAAGAATTTGAATCATTCTATTAGCAAACATGCTTTTTAATTGTAAGATATATTTCGGTGTTAACATTTTATTCATTTATAATACTTTAAGCTATGTTCTTATATATAATTTATTATGTCTTTTTTTTTTTTTTAAGGAATTTTATGCTCGCCAACGACTGAATCATCAAATACAATTGATAGAAAAAGACTATGGTGATCGTGAGACAATTCAACTATGGTCTGAACTACAGCTAAAACTACCAAAATTTTTTAAAGATATTGAAATAGTTCCTTCATTATTGCATGGAGATTTGTGGGGTGGTAATGTAGGAGAAACTGACAATGAACCAAGTAGAGTATACAGAATTTTACTTGTTTGATTAAGTTTAATAAATTAATACAGTATTAATAATTGATAATCTATAAAACTATCTTTCACTTTGTATAGTTTACACAGAACAGACATTCCTTTTGTGTATAGATAAACTAAACTGTTTCACAAAGTTTAATTTATTTTTATTAAAATATTACTTCAAGCAACTAACCTTTCACTGTAGCACTCAATCCTTTCCTTTCAGCAAATGTTTCTGGATTTGTTCATAACTTTACTTCAGGCTTTCCAAATTGAACATAAAATTTGATGTATAAATTTTTACAAAGCTGAAAAAGTTTGCTAAAAGAAAAGGATTCACTGCTGGAGTGAAAGATTAATTATTCTCCATTTTATTTTGATAATTTGGATTTAAAATATTTTTACATCAAATAATTTATATTGTGTGGTTAACAATACAGTTTATACAATTATTTAACTTTTTTTAACAATTGTAATAAACACTAGACTATATGATATAAATATGTATGATCTTTTTGAACTTTATTATAAATACAACATATTCTCTATATTTTTGAATTTGTAATATTTAAACAGAATTATATCAATTAGAAATAGTTTCACAAAAATGTGTTTAATTAACTTAGGTTATTGTAATTTCTGAAATTTGTAAAATTAACATATTTTTATTTACTTCAAATGAATGTATCAAATAGGCCTGCATTATAAATGTAAATATCAAAATTCTTTGTGCCTCTATGTCCTTAAATATTTCAATTTTATTTTTGTATTGTCCACCTAGACCTTGTTTCTAAATAGGTGAAAATAAAGATATTTTGTCTTATTTTTGATTAAGTTTTCCTCATTTTTCTAATTCAAAACTACACCAGTTTAATAAGTCCTATTTATAAACAAGGTCTATGTGGACAATATAAAAACAAAAATAAATATCAAAACTACATTATGAAAATTAATATTTAAAATGTGTTTTAATGATAACAAAATTTAAAATATTTTTAAAAAATGTAAACAATTATGAAGTTTATTGACTTCTGTGTACAACATAATTAAATGACTAGAGTTATCAGTTGCTTTTTATTGATTTACTTATAATTTATTTATTTTTACGATTATTACTCTGGAAATTAGATTATTAATTAATGAATGTAGTAGTAGTAACAGCAATAAACTGCAAATATGTCTCAATATATTTAAGAAACAATAAATATTAAAACACTTTTATTCCTTTCTAGTTATATTTGATCCAGCAACTTTTTATGGCCATTCAGAATTTGAATTGGCAATTGCCAAAATGTTTGGAGGTTTTAATTCCTCGTTCTTTAGTGCCTATCATAAAGAATTACCAAAACAACAGGGATTTGATACAAGATTAAAATTATATCAGCTCTTCCATTACTTAAACCATTGGTAAGTATTTATAAAAAATTTTAAAACTAAGTTTAAAATAAAAGATATAATATTTTATAAAATTTATTTTGTAGGAATCATTTTGGTAGTGGTTATCGTGGGAGTTCTACTTCTATCATGAAAACTATGGTAAAGATGTAAAATCTGAAGTAACTATCTGATTTATACACAAATTATTATGTAATTTTGTTTTAATAAAATATTTTTGTTAAGTTTTATAAATAGATAATTGTTAAAATAAATGTTAGTATGTTATTGAATTTACATGATTTGAATTTTTCTGTTCTCAATTCAAGTATTTCAGTTAAAGAGAAACAATCATTCTGAATATTTGAATATATAATCTCAGTTTAAAGAGAGAATTTTTATTGATTTCTCATATATACAATTTGTCACTGAGAATAAAATACTTCAAAAATTTTTATCTATGATAAATGTTTGTAAATATGATTATTTTAATAAAGACTGAATTTCAGAATTCAAATACTTGAAATTATTAATTAGTATTTATAAAATTGCAAAAACATCCATTTATTGTATTTAAAATGGAAAATTAATAAGTTTAACTAATACTTTCATCAGGCTGTTTGTCCATAAGAACATAAAATTAAACTAAAATTTCAGCGTAAGCTGTAATTATTAATTGAAGATACTTTTCTTAATTTATATTTTTGATTTATTGTGATCTTTACAATATATAGTTAAATAATTTTTAGCAATATAAGTTATACACATAATTACAGCTTGTTAAAATTAATATAATTAGTTGTATAAGTGGCTATTGAATTGATAATACTGTATAAATTATCTATTTTACATTAGAAGAAATAGGCTATAGTAAGATTCTGCAATTCAATTGCATCAAACAAAAAGACCAAATATAAGAAACTGCATAGAAACATTGTAGTGAAGTGATATAGCGAAATAAGTAATGAAAATTATGGTTAACAGTATTTTTTTGATTTATGTAATATCATTTTTTAATTAATTAAAAATTAAGACATATCATATATAAATTAAAACATTCTTTGCTATTCATTATTGATAACGCACACTTAGATTAAGAACAGACTAATTTCCTAACTTTTAAATAGAAAAAAAAAGAGAGAAAGAAAAGAGACAAGTGAGATCTATCCATTTGTTTCCTTTCTTTTCCTGGAAACAGAGTTGGAATGAGAAATACATTCATTTTGGTCTATTGTTCATTCTGTCCTGGCAGCCAACGAAAAAAAGGTTACAGCTTCATGATATCATTCTTATTCTGCCAGTTCTGTCCTTCATCTCAACTTATTTGGAATACGTGGATATTTCTTGGAAGCGTAATAGTTGAAATAAATAATACTGAATGTTTTTCTTTTATATTTGATATTTAAAATAATATTTAGTTAACATATTAAGATTATTTTAAAATAATTAAATTAAAATTATTCTGATTTATTTTCCTATGTTGTTAAGAAATATTTTGGATATAGAATGGATAAAAATCTAATTAATTCTATTATTACATAACAATTAAGGTATTTAATCTTTTTATATCTATAGTTTGCTGAACTTTTATTTCCTTTAAAACTTTAAAAAAAATGTTATGTTTAACATTTTTTAAAGTTTTCAATTAGTTTAAAGCTATATATGTAAAATTTTTCAGTTTTGATAGTTTTTGTATTATATGAATTTATTATGGCTGTTATCTTACACATTTTGGCAAATCATTTATCTTGTGAGGAATAAACAAACTTGTATTCAGTTTTCAAATTAAAAAAATAGACAATTTTCCAAGGAAATACAAAAGTTCTAAAATAAACTATTGTATATAACAGGAAATACAAAAGTTCTAAAATAAATTATTGTATATATTGTAATATTGATATTTATCAATATTATGGAAGTTTTAAATTTCCATTTCATTCATACACACACTACACACACAAATAATGTACAGTACTACAGATAGAACTGAAATTTGACAAATTCTTGACCTATTTTCATTACTAACTTTTTGAAATTCTGGAAGAAAAAGTTTTAATCCAATAAGATATGCTCTCTTGAATATTTGGTTTAATAATAGATGCATTTGTGGTAGTTTTATTGATTGTTCTTTATTCTGAACAGATTCATTTGTTTTTCAAATAAAGTTTTTATAAATGACATACTACTGACTATTTTATGTGATTTTTATGGCTTCTCCTTATAATCAAAACAATAAGATTTTTCTTTAAAACAAGGAAGAAAAGAAATGCCAATAAAGAAAGATACAGTTAAAATTATTTTTCTAGAAGTCAATCTTTAGTCCATTAAGTACTTTTCAGGGTACTTACTCCTCATCTTTTAAATCCAAAAGTATTAATGAGCTAAGTCCTGTTGATCTCTAGAAAAATTATGATATTCTATATAACTGTTTATTAAATATACGTAGAAATAATCAATTTATAAATGAATGGATGCTTTTAACTGTTTGGTTATCTATATCATAATATTCTGCACTTAATATGTTATTAATTGATAGATCATATTATGCAGTTCTTTTAATAATTATCACAAAATATTGGCTTATTGCATTGCTGTTCGTTAGATTTCTTTATTTTAGGTTAAATATTAAAGCAATAATCAAATATTGTAACAAACAATATAGATTTACGCGTTAAGGAATTCGGTTAGTTCGAAATGCAGCTACTTTGTAATTCGACGTGAAAATTCTGTCCGAACTGTCATATGCCTGTTAACTCGTTCGTTTAGATCAGTGTTTCTCAACGGGGGCGATATCGCCCCCATGTGGGCGTTTTTCCATGTTGAGGGAGAGGTTAGTAACAATTTATATTTTGGGGGACGAAAATAGGCGATATAGTAAAACATTATATTAAGAATAATTAGATATTTTATTCGTTATATCGTACAATAATTAAACAAATAACATTATACTAGTCACTAGTCTATTCAATGCAGTACGAATTTGGCGTTAGTCTTGGTCCTCGGCATCAAAATTTTGAAGTGAAGGGGGGCGACGATTCGTTAGAGGTTGAGAAACACTGGTTTAGATCGAAGTGTTTCCATGCTGTAAGAGAACTATATACCAAGAACAACTCTAATTTGGTCAATACGGCTTCCTTTTTACAGTAACACATTTTCGGCTGTCACCCTTATCCACGGAATACCCTTTTTTCTCTTATCTCATAAAATATGGCTGGTTTTCGGGCAGCAAGATTGGGCTACGAGTATCAGATTAAGATATTTACAGAATTCTATCTTTGTAAACGATATGATTATTATCTCTAGCATTTACTTTTCTATTGTGAAAAACTCGGAAATTAGAAAAGTGACTAATTTATGAATATGTTGATAATTTCTACGAAATTGTCACTTTGTAAGTTTTTCGATATTATTTACAAACATTACAACATGGTTTAAAAAATATTATATGTAATCTCTTCCAGAGTTAAATACCCTGAAGGAATAAATAATAACAACTTTCTTGCCTACATATTAAATTCTTCTATTTTATCTGTTTTAAAAAGAGCTGGATTTTACATTTTACAATCGTAATTAAATAAAAATTTATGGTCTTTTTTAATGATTGTAAATATCTGATTAACGCCTGGCATAAGGCTATTATTTATGAAAAATAAATAAATAGCATCTATTAATGTTTTGTTCAAGGCAATAAAATCTTGTGTATTTGTGAAATCGTGCTGTAAAAGTTATTACTCGATAATTCGTTTGAACAACAATGCAAATTTTTAAATACGTCTATAAATATAATTTATATAAAATTCTAAAATAACGAATTAGTCAAGTGTAAACTGAATTGCATGAAATCAAAGCGTTTCGATTATTGTGTTGAAATTATTATTGGAAAAAGGAAGAATCGACTAAACAAAGATTTTTTATTGTTTTTCTTTCCATTGATTTCATTTATTTCCGTTAAAATATTCAGTCGACGTTTTCGACCTATTATCAGGCCTAAATATATAACAAATTCAAACATTTGTTAAAAACTAAAAATAGAGAAAATCATATATTAAGCTAGAATATATTTGAAACTTTATACAGTGTATCAGTTTATATTCAGAAAAAGTTCTCAGTAGATGAATATTTTTACAGTTTAAATAAACTGTTTAAGTAAAAAAAAAAGAAAACTTTTTAATGTCTATAAACTTAACAAGAAATTATTGTATTGTTAAAAATCAAATTCTCTATTATTAAGTATGATGTATAAAAGATTTTAGGCCTGATAACTAGCCACATTTAGTGCCTTTTCATGAAGTTGGAACAGATGATACTGATGTGTGTTTAATTAACGATGTTTTCATTCAAGGAATATCAAGAATGAAGAGACTGTTCGAGAGGAAGAAGAGTAGAATCTGCTTAAATGAGAATCGAATCTGGATCCTTCTGTTGTCAAAAACCAATGTAATAAATCTGGATGAATGTCTAACCTCTATCGTGATAACATTGACTTTCATCTGTTATTAGGCTACATTGTTGTACTTTTTCTTTCTTCAGCAGTAAATTCGGTCTTTGATATGATGTCATGAGACGGAATTTCTGTCGATTGACATTTATGTATTTGAAAATTCACGGCTTTTTTCGAATATTATATCTTTTTCTTTTTTTAGTGCTGTAAATGTAAAATTATTTTTGATATATTCATTATAATTTTAGCTTCATTCACTGTATTTACATATAAAGCATATAAAAATACTACAAATTCCAAACAGAAATTTATCACCTGACAAAATATAAATAAATAAGCATAAAATTTTGTACTTTTTAATTAAAATTATTTAGTAAAATGATAAATAAATGTTGATCTTTATTCTTTTAGAAATAAAAGAGTAAAGACAAATAAGACAACGCGTTTCCAAAAAAGCAGGACTGTCTATCGAAAGAATAAATAAATGGAAACAATTGAAGGCGAATGTAAATGTAAAAAAAAAAATATCTATTTTGTTTAGAACCACCTCCTGTCTGCTTCGTGACGTATTTCAAAATTTCCTAAATTACATTAACACTTTAAAGAACGACGACTCGCCTATCCAAGACAAGGGCTTGAACAAAAATCTGCCAACCTGTCATTATATTATTGTTACTTTTCAAATTCATTCAGTAATTTAATGTTTATCGTTCTATAAAATCCTACATTAAGAACTATTATTAATATGATATATTAAATAACTACATTTTTATTTTATATTTATCTAAGTAAACACGTACAGTCGGCTACAGTACATTAGAAAATTATAATTACTAGTAAATAAAACAGTATAAACTGAAAAAAGTTTTCTATTATTCTTATAATGATATTAAAATATTAATAATTTGTGTATTGAATATATACAAGGATGAACAACAAATATAACAGGTCTATAATTTGTGCTAGAAGACTACGCCCATTATGGTT